ATCCCTTCAGCAAAAATAACGTATTCTACAGTAACGAATATTGATATACAAGTTTATTATCCTTCCTAGGAATACTTGGCGTATAAAATTGCGTGATATTGCAACTTTAGGATCACAAATTTTAGCTGTTACAAACTTTCATAATTTTTCGCTCACTTACAAAATGTGGCTCTTGTGAAATTAAATAAATCAGATAGAGAAGACCAAATTTCACCAAAATATTGTTTTAGACGAAATTTGCATGGACAAATAGGACTATACACAAGGCTATATCAGATAAAATAAGATGTGAAAATAAATGAGTAGTCACTATTGTTGAACTCACTCATGCGATTGAAAAAATTGTCTAGCGAGGCAACGATTTTTAATACACAGACATAGAAAGCTAGTTTCAGCACAAACCATAGACAACATTTCTAGATTCCAAATTCACTAATATATGCATTAATGGAATTTAATGAAGACTATAACTCATGTTGCACACAAGAAGTTAGATTTTCTTTTGTCTCAGACACGAGTTGTATGTCCCAGTTTACTATTACTATCACAAACATTAACTAAGCTGTGCAAAATTTCTAAACGCAACTGCCAAAAAAAAATCCAGTTCTAATAACGTAATAGAGTGTAAGGTAAGATTTAACAAGTAAGTAACGCAATCACACAATTAATAATGAAAACACACTCAGAATGAACTCCCCTGTGCTATTAAGTTATTAGAGACAACTATGACGGCATAACATAGATATTGGAAATAACTTAAATTAATTAACAAGTAATGTGTCTGTCAAAATAAAGGGTATGATTTAACAAAAACTATATTTGCTCTATTAAAAGTGCATTAGGTGTTCATTTTGAACATCTAGAAAAAATCTGATTAGTTCATCCAGCTGAAAATTTAATAATTGCATGAATTTAAACTCCCTATTAATAGAGCGTTTGGTAAGCAAGTTTTCAGCTGTACTGCATATCAGGGTGAGCAAATCAATCTTGAATATTTCGGCCCCTGGATCGGCAACAACAATCATGTGATCATGTAGGAAATTTTAACGTGCTTATTGTGGCTGCTGATAGTGTTCATAGACAAATTTAGGTGAAGACATTCACAGATATGAACATATCAAACTATGTTATTTATTTCTTTTCACAATCTACTGATCTTTAAGACAAATAGAAGAACAAGTCTAGAATGAAAAACAAGAATTTGCTCATATTTATTGTAGTACATAAAACACAATCCCAGCTATATGCATCATAATATGTGGGTTCTTATGAATGTTAATGTAAAATATTTTGGTTTAGCAGGAATTAATTTTTCGCTTTTTCCTGAAAAATCTTTTTGTCTTCTTTTGTACAGAGTTTATTTTTCACCGATTTTTGAGACTCTAATGTACAATAAACCGGTATATTTAAACAAGCAGCCTATCGGCTGAGATAGCTCCGCTGTTAGCAATGCATATTTCAATTAAAGAACTGAAGACATCATTAGAAAATGAACATTATGTATAGTATCAAAGCAATTGGACTTACAGTTTTTAACAAGAAGTCGAAAAAATCACCTTCTACCAAAAATGACAAAAATATTCACCAAAATTAGAGAATTGAAGATATCATCACGAAATGAACAAATCTGAGAGAGGTCCGCATGTAGTACCTATATATGTAGTATCAAAGCAATTGGACTTGCGGTTTTTAACAAGAAGTCGAAAATATCACTTTTTACCAAAAATGACAAAAATATTCACCAAAATTAGAGAATTAAAGATATCATTACAAAATGAACAAACCTAAGAGAGGTCTACCCAAGGTACATATACACCACGTATCAAAGCATTCAGGCTTGTAGTTTTCAAGAAGAAGTAAAACATTGACACGGACAACGACGGACAATCACTCATATGATAAGCTCCGCTCGACAAAGTCGACAGCGGAGCTAAAATGGTATATTTGAGGGATTTTATTTTATGAATCATCTTTTCAGCAAAAATAGCTAATAATACATTCCAAGTGAAAATAAAATATTTTACAGTGGTATCTTCAAAATGTGTTTGTATAGGATGGCAAGCTTGCATTTCAAATTGTTGAATTAATACCGGGTACTGAGAATAACTAAGCATCAGATTTGTAAATGTCTATGAAGAGTTTAATTTTAGTGCAAAGGCATGCAAATCTAGCTAGCCGGCATATGAAATGAAGCTGTTATCGAGTTGAAACAACTACAATATCATATCATACAAGTTTATTTGTTGCTAGATTTTTTGATAAAACTAGCTTTTAAATTGAAACAATTCTAATCTACCAAATTTTGTTTTTATTATGTTTATTTTGAGTTTTTTTTGACATGATTGAAACCAAAAATGTTCCAGAAATTTACCTGATGATGTATTTAAAAAAAATATTAACAAAAAAAAAAGTCAGTTTTGAGCTAAAAAATATTTTATCAAAAAAATAAATATAAACAATTTGGGTTAATTTTGATAGAAGTTGACCTCATGCTAGCACAAACTGGTTGACACTGATTAGTTTGTTATCAACACAATGAACAAACACCTCAAATTATAGCATATGATCATGTGATGAGATAAGGTCAAAAGTTCATATTGCTCAGAAAACATGAGAAAAAAAAAGGAAGGGAAAAAATTGTACCATGCATAATTACTGCATGGTAATTACTGGTACAAAAAATGTCACAGAAAAATGAAAAAAAATAATACTCCATAACTCAATATGTAAAATTTTGAAGTTGAAATAACTGAAAGATTAAATGAAATTGCTGCATCTGAAAAATATTATAGTCTCAATATAAATAAGGCGGACGAAACATGTGACATCAAGCGGCATTAATAATAGAATTCTGCTTGGATTGTTCTGAACCACCATCACATCACGATGACACAGAACTGAGTCTATTGAATTTTACGTGTCGGCATTACGAGTCCAGTTCACAGAGCTTCAACAAATAATCAACAGAGATAACCTCATTCATGTCCCTCAACTATCACTCGACAAATTCATCAACAGAATATTTTGGGGAGAGGGGGGTCAGAAAGACTGCACATAGTTTAAACCTTGTAACAACTTACAAATTTAAGCAGAGAATACAGTTACATAGTGCAACAATATGCAAATTTTATGGGCATTGACAAGAAAAAAAGCAAAATAGCCTTCAGTCGGCCATTGTTGTTCAAATCTTTAAAAATATACGACATACATCTGTAACCCAATATGTATGATTCAAGTATAAAATCATTAATTTTTTTTTCTCCAAGAAACAGTTTTGTACACATTCACATATTTCAGGAATTTAAAACTAAATGGTCATCAGTTTAATAAAATTTGATCAAATTACAAAATCACACATCTTATAGTATTACCTATGAATATAGTACTTGTGTACAAACTTTCAACTGAATATTAGTGAGGAATGGGCAGACATGAATAAAATAAAAAAGACCACAGATATGCAAGACTCCTGAACCCCCCCCCCCTTTTTTCTCATCTTTGAGAAACGGTTCCAGACATGTTTAAGTAACAGAATTTAGCAAATTTGAGGACCAGAATGGCTGCCAGTAAGCGATACTAGATCAAATAGTAGCAAAAGTCAATGTGCATATGTAAGTCATCTAAATGTGCATGTGCCTACCATCTTCCCTACCCAAGGAATGTTTGTTTCAGATCACCCCCTTCCCCCTTTACTATGATTTGCACAGCTATTGTTCTATGAGACACGTCCTTGCTGATATTTAAAGCCATAAACAATAACCAACCGAAGTTTATTTGGGTTGGTTTATTTGCAAGTTGTGGTCTATTTACATAATTCACGCCACAAGCTATGTCAACAATAGAACGTCGAAAAATAACTTGTAAATGAAACCGAAAAGAAAATGTTGCATGCTTTATTGGAATTCGGTAAAACATCACAAATTTAAGCAGTCTGTACGCTACCTTACTGATCACACCATGACCGTTATCTGACTTGAAAACAAAAATCGTTTGAAGAAATGTTGATTCCAATGTTGAAAATAACACTTTTTATGAAAATACTAATGATTGAAACATTGATGAAATCGTTTGGAGATTTCATGTAAGATGTCAAATACTGACTTGATGTCAAATAGTTTATCTTGCTTTCCTTCATGGCCGGTGACCTTTTGCTCTACCTTATTCACAGACTGCAGTCTTACTGTCGTTAAGGTAGCGAGAAGGGAAACATAATTTATAGTTTAATGGAGTTTAGGACTTTCCTCACCAGTTACTAAGCATGCAGTTATGGCAATGTATACGTTTTCAGAAAGCTGAGATATAGCAGAATACGATCATATATGTTTCGTCTTGATATTTGCTCAGGGGATTAAGTTACGATCGTTCCCGTTAACCTCCTAAACATAGAGTTTTTTTGCGGGATTGGCCGTTTCTCGGTGTTCCTTTTTTCTATGTTTCTGATCTTTTCACTGTTGCTTTATAAGATAATGATCTTTGAGAATGCGTCTCGAAATTCTTATGAGCCCCATAGTTCTGGAGATAACGCCTGTTGAACTTTATGGACTAAATTTTATGAATGTCTTCCTGTTCCCAAGGCCGTAACTCATCGTCAACGGCTCACATAAACGTCCATGAGACATCATATTTTAGCCCATTTTGTGGCGAATAGATTGTTTAATTTATACATCATTAGCGTAGAGAAAAGTGTTGAAAAATGACATCTTCAATAGTTATGATAGTCAAAAATTAGTTTTCGTAAAAACTCAATAAAAAGTTTTTTCGAATTTAGCCACAGATAAACAGCTAATTAATGACAAAATGTCGTGAAAAATTGGTTGATCGTTTCCTAAAACGTGACAAAACTTAGCAGTTTCGGCGAAAGTGGGTGCTAACTTGAGCAAGATGGCGTACCGCGCAATTAATTTATTCAAGTCCCTTTGTTATGTTGAACAGCGTCAACAGTACAATCGGTTCTCTAAACATAGGGCGGGCCTTCATGACAGCATATATTTACTTACGGGATATACATACCTTCAAGTACAGATATGTTTGCATTACTCTCAGCCTATGGAGAGTGTACCGTTATCGGATTTGTTATAATCAGTTAGCCCTAAGTCAGCACTCCCGGATTCGCCCGATACCCCGCCTGGGCGATCTTATGGAGGATTCGATTTTTTTTTAGAAAAATATGGACCAAAAGATCGCCCGGGCGATGTTATGGCAGATATTGCAAAGCCCATCTTGTCTGAAAAAATAACCCTGCGCTGATAAAAATGGTCTCAGAAAATGTTTAGAAAAAATAATGTTTCGCGTTGACCAAATGTAATCATTCAAAGTATAAATTCAAAGTGTTTTAATACGTTGGCGAGAGGTCGCATTTTACGTGAACAAGACATGTACTAAGAAGGAAAAGCAAGCCAAAGTTGAAACGGG